GATATGGTCGTTTTCGATGGACAACGACTGCATGCCCCTGTTAGTCGAAGGTTGTAGAGGGACGTTTGTTTTTGTTTCCCCGTTCACTTGTGCTGCCATGCATCACAAGCATGGCGCACATTCGATTTCACATGGTGGGGGAGGTGGGAGCACATGCGAACAACGCATAATGGGGTTTGAGGTGGTGGAAAAGGTGTTCATCACCTTTTCGTAGTCGTCAAGCAGGTTTAGACCGTTTAGGGTTTAGTTCTGATGACTGATTTTTGTTTTCGCCGTGTATGCGGAGTGTTGACGACCATTTTTTGTGTGTCCGATTTTGAACATACTGCGTGCTTTTGCGTCGTTTTGTTTTGTCGTCAGGTGTGCGGATTTTAAATTTGTTTTTTTGTTCTACGTTTACCAAACGGGTGGTTGTCGACACCTTTTGGTTTTCAGATTCACCAAACCCTTCTTCATCCATGGTTGTGCGGATGTCAATTTGCTTTCGTTTCTCAAATGTGCTGAACACAGATAAAGCTCATGCACAACAAACTTGCATTATGTGTTTCTCCTCATCCATGGACGACTGCAAAACTGATAAAGAAGATGAACACACTGATTATGACTTCTGCAAACGAACCACACAGAATGAAAAGCAATAACATCCATGCGGAAGATCAATAGAACAAGAAAGGAAGACGAGTTTTTTTAAAAAAAGGCACCAATTCTTCTATAACGTTCAAAATGAGAACATGAACGCTAGAGATCTAATCATGAAATTGTCATCACAACACGCCGATTCCGCGATGCACGATCGGGCCGTTCCCCTATCCTCGACCGCACACGCCGCACTTCACCACACTAGGCAACCAGCATTGATTGCTTCTCCAAGTGGAGAAGGATTGACTGACGCCGACTAAATCAGTAAACCCTCTAATCGGAACAAGCAAGGAAACCCGACAGGAACGTCATCGTCACACCCAAAGATTCAATTCAGCATTCGCATACGCAACCCGTGACGCAAAGCCAGGGCAGCGTCGGTTGCGCTGGATTGCAACACTGGCCGTGGCGGATCTTGCAACCCTAGATCGACACGAAGCAGATTGCCATTCTCGTCCGGCTCGAGTAGGACCGCGTCGTCGAATGGTATGCCAGCCTCAAGCAACAGGTTGTGGATGATACAAATGGCCAGAAATTGCTGAGGCAAATTATCCATTTTCGTCTTGTGATGCCGAAGGAACAACCTCCACATCATCTTCAAACGCCCAAAAGCCCTCTCGACGACTCCTCTCGTCGTCTTTTGTCGCGTGTCGAACAAGCCGGTGTCCCCTGCGTGGTCGGACTCTCCGTAGGGGACCACCATCCACGTTCTTGGCGAGTACCCGTTGGCCCCAAGCAGGTACCCTGTTGTGGACACCCCCCCTGGCAACAGAATAGGTTCTGCGACGAAGAGCTCGCCCGCCTCCGCACGTCGAAAGAGAGAAAAATTTTTCAAAACCCGTTGGTCGTGGACGCTCTTCGGGTAGCCCATGAACACATCAAGAATCCTCATGTCCGGGTCGACGACGACTGGGCGATGATAGAGAACTGCTGTTTCCGGTCGCAGTAGGGCTCCGACGGTGCATTGGCGGGCTTGTCTACGTACACGTGCGTGCAGTCGATTGCGCCGAAGCAATTAGGGAACCCCTTCGCTCAGAATGCTCGGGTCACCTGCAGCAGCCGACGGCCGGTCGGCATGGCAACTTTGTCGGGATATGCAGCCAGTATTGCATTCGCGGCGTCCATGACAGTCGTCACTCCAGACGACCTGTCGATGCTAAAGCTCGATGAAGCGTTCTCAAACGTCTCCCTGGTGGCCCACCGGTACAACGCGAAGGCGACGATAAGGTCTATCTGCAAGGGCTCGCGGTAGTGAGTCAGTCTACGCTCGATGAAAGGACTGCAAGCCGCAACAATGTCGCTGAATATGGCCCTCGACATTTGCAGCTTGTCATGGAAATATTCCTCCGTCGCGTCGTCTGCAATGTCCAAGTCACGCCACGTCCCGCCCGTTCGTCATTCCATCCACCACCGCGGTGTGTCCCTCGGCAGAACACCAGCAATAATTGCGTTGGACAACAGGAAAGGAGTGTCTGATAGACCGGACGAAGTACAGAGAGGTCTGCCACGCCTGGGCTTTGGCGGCCTCCTTCCTCCCCCTTCCCCTCCCACCCGCTCGCCTCAATCCATTCACCGTCTCCATGTACCGGCACACAGCGAGGACAGCACTAGCGACCATGCTCTTCTCACTGGTTGATAATCTCCTCGTCGCCTGTGGATCGCACCCACCGCTGTCCATAGTTGGACTACGCTGCATACAAAAGGCACACGTCAGCGACACGTGAAGCCACGTGCACACGCGCAATAGTGGATGACTGCCGCGTACGCCGTGGAGAACGAGATGGCGGGGAGTCTAGAAACCGATGTGGTCGAATCGAACTGGCGGGCACGGAATTTGAATTCGAATGTTTGGGGTCCTCGCGCGCTTTAACTTTCACGGTCGAACGACGCTGCGCGCCCGCGACAGGGCCACGCCGGCCTTGGGGAAATGGCTGGTCTGGGTCTCCCACTGGCCCAAAGCTGGCAGACACAATTTTGTCCGCCGCAACACTGGGTCGGACACTCGCATTCAATTCTCGGTCGCGTTACGCGCAAAAGGGGGCACCTGAAACGTAAGGGCACTAAAGTGTAGGGTTTTCGTAAGTGTTTGTGGAACGAAAAACGGGGTAAGGGCAAACTAATCACATTTTCGTCGTAAGGGCGCCCTTACAAAGTAACAGTTTTCTAGTGGTGTCGAACGAGGCCCATAGATCATACCTTATTATTCGATAATATATGATAACCTGAAAAAGGGGAGACTAAAGGGGAGGGCCTGTTAGAGTGGTCTGCAAAAGGACACGGATGGTACGGCATAGAGCATAGATCCTGTCTCTTATACACATCTAGATGTGTATAAGAGACAGATATATGATAACCTGAAAAAGGGGAGACTAAAGGGGAGGGCCTGTTAGAGTGGTCTGCAAAAGGACACGGATGGTACGGCATAGAGCATAGATCAGATTTTATTATTCTATAATATATGATAACCTGAAACAGGGGAGACTAAAGGGGAGGGCCTGTTAGAGTGGTCTGCAAAAGGATCTGCCTCTTCCTACCGGGACAGCACTCATCCTTTTCGCAATGGTAAAAGGTCCTAGTACATAGGTCCCACCATGGCGTCAGAGCTGAGATTATTTCAAAATAATAATCACCCTGATTCAGAATTCTCAACATCAGACGTGATTTGACACGCGCTTGTGCGGCAGTATCCAGGTCAAAATGAACTGATCCTAATTCCGGATCCTCGTCTTCCTTTTCTGTCGGATGTACTTTCAGTATCGCATCGAACGATGCTTCTACGGCTGAGTAGAGCGAAGACATCAATTGAAAAGGGACTCTAAGACACCTGATCCATAAAAATTTGGAGCCCCCATCTTTGAAGACTTGCAACTGGTTTTAGGCGGTATCCGGGGGAAAAAGGGTCGGGGACGATGTAAGGGTGGAGAGTTCAGGTACCAACGGGAGTACCTGATCCGAGTAAGGCACTGAAAGTACCCCTGCTGGATCCGAATGGAAAAGTAATGGGGCGGGCGGTCTGGTGGAGAAGGATGGATCTTCCACTTCGGGAAAGAAAGTGATGGGGAAAAAGAAGGAGAAGGGGCTGAAGGAGTGGGAAAAGGGACCGAATCCATCAGACTCTAGAAATGAAGCATCAGACAGACAGGGCACAACGCTACCGGGAGCGCTGCGCCCCGTACCGACATCATGATTTCGCGGAGAGAGTCGGTACCTTCCGGTGGTTGGCGCAGCGCTGTATACGACAATACTTATATGGTGGCTGCGTGGGATGAGGGTGGTTGTGCCTTGGCGACGGTGGTACGTTTCTACCTTCACTATCGCTACGTGAGGAGAGGGACGTGCGATGTGACGGGGAGGAGATAGCTTGGTGCTGCTTTCTTTTCCCTGGGAGTATTGTCCTTGGTCTGCTCCACGTGAGATGGCGGATGGGTCAATTCGAGCAGGTTTCTGCCACCATGGATGTTCTTTCTCCCTCCGGAGGGGTCGTCGACAAGCTCGACGGCTTGGGCTCGCTACGTGGTTGTGTTGTGGTAAGCTTTGGCCATGGTCCGACAATCTTCATTCGTTCAGCTTTATGGTCAGATGTGTTGTAGGCCACGAGCAACTGAGATGATTTTGAAGCCGGTGAAGGAGGAGGTGAAGGTTGGGAGAGAGAAAGGACATGTCACGTGTGGGGGGTGGTAACTAGGGTTGGTAAGGAACCATGTAGACTCTCCGCTGTTTTTCCTAAGTGACAAGACTGATGGTTGAGGAGTTATTTCTTTTCTGATTACAAACCCATAAAATCCCTAGTCCGTGCTTATTTTCATGTCGTAAAACATGATCTTTTTTTTTCTGACGCTATATTCTGATCAGCAATCTTTTTTTTTTTTTTTTTTTTTTTTTTTAAACACCCCCGCCAATGTTAGTGTTGCTGATAAGAGCAAACACCACTAACACCTGGGGAGAGGCTCCATCTATTGGTGGGGAGCATCACCTGCTGAAAAACGGGTCAAGCGTCCCTTTAACATGAAAAAGAGCATATGAGAATGTCTGAAATAGAAAACAATGTGGAGGACCCTTGCCAGCATTGATTACCCTGGAATCCA